GTAAAAGGGTCCATCCCCCCTTCCCAGCCCACATGCCCAGGCTCCCACTCTGCTAGCCTGAGGGCCCTATCTTTTCCACCTAGCCCCCATTGCCCTTCATCCCCTCTCATTCCATTGAGCTTCTCATCCCCAGCTTGCTCAGGCATCTCTTTGGCTCAGAGATTCCTACTCATCCCTGGAGAAAGGGCCATTGCTCTGAGAAGGCTGAGGAGCAGGGCTGAGTAGGGGCTGTACTCTCCTGGTACTTTGCTAGGCTTGGGGCATTGGCAGGGTCCCTTTGCTCAGAAACCATGGTGATGAGTTGTTGTCATGGTTACTGAGGATGCCCTACAGCTGGTCTGCTCAGTGGTCCCCAAAGCTACCACTCTCCCCTCTCTGGGATACTGGGATAAGACATGCCCCAACCTTAGAAAAGTGCCTTCTGCATTGTAGAGCACTGACCACCAGCAGGGCTTACCTCTCTCACTGCCTGTCACTGGCACTTGGGTCTGGCCACAGCAGAGGCATCTTCATTACCTGAGTGAGGACAGAGTGTGAGAGAAGTCTCTTTGGAAGTAGGAGGTAGCTCTGAGCTGAAATGCCCTACTGGTTCCAGAAATTGAGGTTCCTTTAAGTGAAATATTAGCACTTTCAGGTTCAGAGTAAGTCCTCCCTCCTCCAAACTTCCCAGAACTTTGAAATGTGGTCTGCTCCCTCAGCCCTCCTCCTCCTCTCCTCTCCTCTCCTAGAGGGGGTCTGTGTACCTGGTGGACCACGCCATCCTCTCAGGCCTCCGGCCCAGTGTCATTAATGGGAGGCCTCAGTTCGTGGCTGCACCCTTGACTCTGCTGCACCAGCGCCCAGGTGGTGGGCCCTTGTTACCCCTGGCTATCCAGGTGATAAAGGAAGGGCCCTGGAGGATTTGGGGGGAGGGATGACTGAGAGATCACCTCCTCCCAGTGCTGCTATGCCTAGGGCCAGAAATCACATCTCTAATCCTACCCAGCCCCTTCTGAGTTTGTTGTTTTCCTAGTTTTGCAGCTCTGTCCTATTTGATTTCCACCTTGACAGAAAGGTCATAATATTCAGTATCTGAGAACAATTTCCATCTTGACATTGGTGACAAAACTGACTCTGCTGAATCACGAACCTTTGACAGTTTGATCATGTTTCTAACAGTTAAAAACTTAATCTCTCCTGAGAGGTGTCTCCACACCCTTCCTCTCCATCCTCCCAATCTGCACTGCACACTAGGGATCTGGATGACTTAGCTGGTACCAGGGCGTCTGCCACCTGTGCTGACAGCACTTCAGCTCTCAGAGAGATTATTATTGTCAACTTCGCTTTACTGTTGAAGAATCTAAGTCACAGAGAGGTTTTTTAATTTCCTCAAGGTCACACAACCAGTAAAGGAAGTTGACTGTGTGATTTGACCCTGTGGATGTGGTAATGGGCTATACTTCCCTGGTTTCTGCCTAATGTCTGCCCTCCTATATGTCCCCCACTCCAGCTCAGTCAGACACCTGGCCCAGACAACCCCATCTTCCTGCCCAGTGACCAGGCTGAGGACTGGCTCCTGGCTAAGACCTGGGTGCGACATTCAGAGTTCCTGGTACACGAGATGGTCACTCATCTGCTTGCAACCCACTTCATGGCAGAGACGTTTGCTTTGTCCATGCTGCGGCAGCTACCCTTGTGCCACCCTATTTTCTTTTTTTTTTTTTTTTTGAGACAGAGCCTCAAGCTGTCCCCCTGGGTAGAGTGCCGTGGCATAGCTCACAGCAACCTCCAACTCCTGGGCTCAAGCGAGTCTCCTGCCTCCGCCTCCCAAGTAGCTGGGACCACAGGTGCCCGCCACTACACCCGGCTATTTTTTGGTTGCAGCCGTCATTGTTGTTTGGCGGGTCCGGGCTGGGGATTCGAACCCGCCACCTTAGGTGTACGTGGCTGGCGCCTTAGCCAGTTGAGCTACAGGCGCTGAGCCTCCACCCCATTTTCAAGGTAGGGAAGATCCCTCCTCCCAGTGCCCAGAGCTGGGACCACCTTGTCTAACCTCTGCCTCTGCTCTCCCCAGCTGCTCATCCCTCATTTCCGCTATACCTTCCACATCAACATCCGGGCCCGCACTGGGCTCTTTGCACCAGGAAAGCTCATCGACAAGGTCAGGGCCCTGGGAGGCCTGGGATCCTGGTGGTTGGCAGAGGGGGCCAGAAGGGGATTGAGGTTTGGCCCCGAGGTCCTTACTCCTGTGCTCCTGGCAGCAGCACTCTCTTTATTCATTACAGTCAGTATCGTTAGGACACGAGGGCTGCCTGGAACTGATCGCCAAAGGGCTGGCAACTGTCACCTACCGCTCTCTCTGCCTGCCCCACCAGCTGGCTGACAGAGAGGTCCAGGACCTTACCCATTACTACTACCGAGATGATTCACTCCAGATCTGGGCAGCTATAGAGAGGTAACACTGCCCTGGGCCTGAGGACTCTGAACCTCTCCATTAGTTTGTTTATCACCTTCCCTCTATCTGTCCAGCCACGTTGGCCTTGCTGCTTTCTCTTTTTCCTTCCAATCTGTGCAGCCCTGGGCAAGTCATTTAATCTCTCTGTGCCTATTTCTTCATCCGACAATAGGGCTAATAAAAGCAGCTATCTTATAGATTATTAGTATTAAGTGAAGAACAAACCTCAGCAAAGAGAAAGTGCTCTCTGAGGATTAGCTATTAATATTATTATTCACCCTCTAGTATTTTTATTATTCATACATAGACTAAGTCACCATGTTTCCAGATTTTTCCTTCTAAATCTTTCTCACAGGAGGCCTCCTGGAGCTATACCTCTGGCCTCCACCTAGCTGGCCAGATCCTCTTAAAATCTGGCCTCCTGCAGGTTCCCACCTCCTGCCACTAACCAGCATAATGACCTTCCCTCGGGCACTGTGATATATGACAGTGCCAATGCTGTGAGCCTCACATGGCTTCTGATTTCTTGCCACATGCAGTACCACATTTCCTGTGACATCTCAGCCCTTCTCAATCCGCCCCCATTCCTCCTCCTCAGCATGCACTAGCCAAGGGAGGCCAGGCAATTTCTCCCTCACTATCTATTTGATGCCACTGCTGTAAGCTCAGCTCATGTCCCAACCTCCCCCTTGAAGTCCTCAAGGATCCTCTGAGTGAACACCCATAGCAAGAGCTGCCTGTGCCCAAACCTTCTCAGCAGTATTCCACACACCCTTCCTGAGCCTTACTGTGGCTGAGGATGGTTGGTCCTTTGGGAGCCAATGGAGAAAATGCATCTGATCAAATAGTGGGACCACATGTTGAATCCTGCCCCATGGCTTGATATAACTCAAAAGACTGGAATTCAAATGCCAGCAGAACCAGCAAGCAGGAAAAAGCTAGCGAAGAGCCATGAACAGGGACTGTGGGCAGTAGAGAACTCATTTGTCTGATGGGGACAATGGACCCAGCTATCACTGTGGTCAGATCTTAAGATTCTCTCAAGAGAAACTAGACATCTTGAAATATTTAAATGTTGATAAGTGATTCAACTTGAAAATAAACAAAAATCCTTGCCAACTAAAACATTTCTTCAGACCAACTTATGCCTTCAGGTCTTTGGTTTGCACAGCCCGATGAAGACAGCCTCCAGGTTTGAAACTCAGCTCTGCAGTTTGTGCTCTGTGTGTCAGGCCACCTCCCTTCCTAGGCCTAGTCCCTCCTTTGTGGGCCTCTGGTTTCAGCAGCCTCTTCTACCCCCCACCCTGGGTCAGCATTGCTCCCCCAACTATTAGTCACCATGCCTTCCTGGATCCCCAGCTTTGTGACTAATATTGTTGACATCTACTATCCGGACAATGAGGCAGTGAGCAAGGACTCAGAGCTCCAGGCCTGGGTCAGGGAAATCTTCCAAGAGGGTTTTCTAAGCCGCATGAGCTCAGGTGAGGTGTCCATCCCTGTCTCCTGCCTGCCTTCTTCAGAGCCCCCTTCCTCAGGGCAGCAGCATCTCCTTGGATCTCAGCTCTGTTTTCTCCACCCTACTCCCATCTAGGGGTCCCCTCTACCCTGGACAGCTGTGCTGGCCTCATCCAGTATCTCACCATGATAATCTTCACTTGCTCAGCCCAACATGCTGCCATTAACAGTGGCCAGGTAAGCCAGTGACAGGCCAGGGGGACAAGCTGGGTCACAGAAGGATTGGAACTTGCAGTGGCACTGGCAACTCTATGCTTACTAAGTTGTGGGGGTCAGTTTGAATTCAGTGCCTGGATGCCCAATATTCCCACCACCATGAGGCTCCCCCCGCCCACCACCAAGGGCCAGACAGACCTGGTGGCCTCACTCCCTGAAGTCAGTGCTACCTGCCATGCCCTCGTACTCTTCTGGAGCCTCAGGAACGAAACCAAAGACACTGTAAGCAAGGCCTAGGGTGGAAGTGGGTGGGGCTTCAGGTTCCAGGGTAGGGTGACAATGAGTTACTCGGATGGGGCAACTGGGCGTGGTGGTGGGCGTGGCTTGGGTGCTACGGATTCCTATAGGTGGAGCTCGGAGTGGTCTAGGTGGCAAGTGAGCATGCCTTGGGGAGGTCTAGGTTTCTCCAATCGCCAATCTTTTGCCTAGGTGGGTGGCTTTTGTTTCAAGTTGGATGGATCTGGGTCCGGTAGGTGACCAGGGCTTGGGTTGACTAAATAAAATGGACCGAAATAGCTGAGGGCGGAAATATGGGGTAAGGCTGAGGTCCCAGCCTTTTTTGCACCATCCCCAGCAGTGTCTGGGCAACTACCCAGACGAGCACTTCACCGAGGAGGCCCCACAGCGAAGCATCGCCGCCTTCCAGAGCCGCCTGGCCGAGATCTCCAGAGGCATCCGGGAGCGGAACCGGAGCCTGGCACTGCCCTACACCTACCTGGACCCCGCGGTCGTGGAAAACAGCATCACCATGTGAGCATCACCATGTGAGGGGCCAGAGCTCCTCGCCGGCACCCACGACCCCAATAAAAGACCCAGGGAAAGTGTTTGAATTGTTTTTGTTTTTGTTTTTTGAAAACAGAGAGAGGTGGGGGGTGAGAAGCAAGGAAGGACCGGCCGCCCTAGATAGAAATGCTGTTCTCGATCAGCACGGGGTCTAGATAGTAGTAGGGGATGGGGAGGCATTTGTTGCGTTGGCGAATGTTGAGTGAGATCTGAGCCAGGCGTTGGCGGAAGGCCTCCATGCTCCGCCGCGGGGCCTCCTCCACGAAGTGGATGTCTGGGAAGTGGCCCAGGGGCCGCTGAGGGCACAGAACCGTGTGGCTGAGAGGAGCCAGGCCCACACCCTCTCCCGGCTGCTGGAGGCCCTGGCCTCTCAGCCCTTTCCGGTCCACAGCCTCTCATTCCCTGCTCCCTGCCCTTGGCACCTACCAACTACCCTTTCCTCTCTCCCCTGCCTGGTTCCAGCCCCCTATCTAGCTCAGGGTTCCCCACCTCCATCCTGCACCTTGTCATCAGGTTCCCGACCAAGTGTCCAGAGCACTAGCAGTACGATACAGGTGGTTTTCACGTCTGGCAATGTGTCCATGAAGGTCTCCTGGGTGGTCAGTCCCTTAGCCTGCATTGGTGGGTTCCTCATGGATGATGGGAAGTTGGGCATCCAGGAGGTGTACTCCAGCTAGAGAGGGGGTAGAGGAGGGGTTCTGAGTCAGAGAGCACCCCGGGAGTTCCATTCTGCCAGACCCTGACACCTGCTCTCCCAGCCAGCATGGACTTGGACTGCTAACCCTGTGGGCTGAGGTTGGGCTGGGTTGGTTAGGTTGGTGCTGGGTTTGGGACTGAAGGTGGGTTAGAGTCTGAGTTGGGGCTATACGTGAGAGGCTGGGCCCAAGATTTCAGTTGAGACTGATGTTGGAGCTAGGACTCAAGTTGAGACAAGTTAAGGTTGGTCTAAGGATTATGGCTGAGGCTGGTTTTGAGGTCTGGACCTGGGGCTGTGGAGGCTAGAGCTGGGGCTGGGGCTAGTGAGCACACATACCTGGCCTGAGTTGACAGCTGCATGCTTGGCAGAGCAGGTGTAGATGACTATGGTGACATATCGGATCAGCTCAGGCACTGTTCGTAAGCATGTGGGGAAACCTGTGGAGCAGAGGGAAAGCCCAGAACACTGTGTCTGTCTTGCCCTGGTCCTGGCTTCCCAGGAGAGGGTGCCACTGAGCCTAGTTCTCCCTTGTCTTGCAAACAGTCAAGCTGCAGCATCCCCTCATCCTGCCTCCTTGGCCTTTCTGTGGCCACAAGCCCATGTTCCCCAATCTAGACCACAAGGCATGGGACAGAAAGTCTTGGCATGCCCTGGCCAGAGTCTTCCAGGGATGCCCCTGGTTCTTGCCTGAGATGGCCCCTCAGATCTCTGTTCTTGCTCCCCTGAGGGGGGAGGGGCCCAGAGTAGAGGGTGACAGGAGGCTTCCCTCTGTTTGGAAGAGTCCTGGCTTTCCTGCCCTAACTCAACACAGTGTCTCATCCGCTCCCTCCTGTCACCTCCCTGGAGACTGCACTCACTACAGATGAATTTCTCAGCAGCCTGGCTGTCTCACACCCCTTCCCAACCAAGCTGCTGGCTTCTCTTTCCTGTTCTCCCATATGAATATCAGCCCTGTTGCATGATGACCCTAGGGTCCAAAAGCTCCACACATTCAAACCAGACCCATCATTGTGGCTGGGTGCAGTGGCTCACACCTATAATCCTAGCAGGTGATGGAGGGATGAGGTGGATGGATTGCTTGAGCTCAAGAGTTTGAGATCAGCCTGAGCAAGAGCAAGACCTCATCTCTACTAAAAATAGAAGAACTAGCTGAGTGTTGTGGCAGGCACTGGTAGTCCCAGCTACTCAGGAGGCTGAGGCAAGAGGATCTCTTGAGCCCAAGAGTTTGAGGTTGCTGTGAGCTATGACGCTACCATAGCACTCTACCCAGGATGACAGAGTAAGGCTCTGTCTCCAAAGAAAGGAAAGAAAAAAAGAAAACAAATTCATTATCCTCCAGCCCCCAGCTCAAGGGACAACATACATCATCCACCCAGTTACAAAAGTTCTAAACCTGAGCTCAGCACCTATAGCTCAGTGAGTAGGGCACCAGCCACATACACTGGGACTGGCAAGTTCAAGCCCAGCCTGGACCCGCTAAACAACAATGACAACTGCAACCAAAAAATAGCCAGTTGTTGTGGCAGGTGCCTGTAGTCCCAGCTACTCGGGAGGTTGAGGCAGGAGAATCGCATAAGCCCAAGAGTTTGAGGTGCTGTGAGTTGTGACAGCATGGCGCTCTACCAAGGGCGACATAGTAAGACTTTGTCTCAAAAAAAAAAGTTCTAATACTGGAGTCATCCTTGTCTCCTCCCTTCTCCTACCCTACCCTCACCACGAAAGCCAAACCAATTGCCCAGTCCTGTCATTTCTAGCTCTGGAATTGTCTTTGTCCCACAGCCCTCACCCTAGTCAGGTCCCTGTCACCTCCCTCCTGGACAACACAACAGGGTGCCAGACTGTCTCTGGACTGTCAGTGCAGCCTGATAATCTAACATAGTTAGTCTCCTTGCAAACCCTCGATGATGCCCTCTGGTGCTTAGGGTAATTCCAAGTTTTTTAACCAGGCTGCACCACCTGGCCCCTACTGAGGCCTCAGCGTTAGTAGAATGGGAGCCTGCTCACCTCCCACCCCTAAGCTCCAGTTGCAGGATACTTGATTCCAGTAAGCAGATCCCAGAACTCATTATACTCTCTCTGGCTTCTGGGCTTTCCATATACTGCTCCCATTAGAACTCTTCAACCCCACCGTCTGTTATCTCATGGGTGACCTCCCCATCCTGCAGCTCTTAGGTAGACATCTTAAGTAGACATTAGCCAAGAAATTAGATCATAGCTTGCTACTCCCCACCCCCACCTTCTATCCACCAACCTTCCCCAAGCTGAGTTAGGTTCTGCCCCTGGGCTCCTAGAGCCTCCTCCCCAGGCCTCCTCTCAAACTGTACCAGTCCTGCTACAGCAGAATGGCCCATTTGCTTAAGGGATGCCTTCTACCTCACAATGTGAACTCTTTAAGGGTGGGCGCCTTCACCTGTCTCCTTCCCTTTTGCCTCCTTAATAACCAGCACAGTATCACATTGTGGATGCTCATTAAATATTTGTTGAGTGTGTGCCCAAGTGCCATGATCTTAGGATGCTCCCAGCCCTCCCCTGGAGCCTGTCAGCTCCTCCCAGCTCCCCAGCCTGCAGCACACTTTGCCCTTTCATGTCAGAGCTCATGCCCCACTTTTTAGCCCACAAAGATTTGTTTCTGGGGTAGGGGACTGGGACCAAACTAGGTCTATGCAGAGATGACTCACAGCCCCTGAGCTCAGATAGAGACCAATGGCCAGCCATGTTTTCATCTCCAACCGCTCCACTGCTCTAGGGGCCAGTGAAGAGCCCCATCAAAATTCTAGGGCAGTGATGTGGCCTCCTTCAGCCCACATTGAAATGTATTCTTATCCAGCCCAGGAGAGTCCCAGTGGACCTACCAGGGTGCTGCCCCTTGGCCCCAGGAGTTACCTAGGTGCCCAGGCCCATACCTGAGCTCTCACGCCCCAGGAGGCACTCCTTGAATATCTCCTGCACCCAGGACTGCAATTCCGGGTCACCCTCCACGGCTGCATCATTTGGGTAATAATAGGTGATGATCTCTGTCACATACCTGACCAGGAAACAGGGCCTCAGTTTGAATCCTCCCTTCCCCCTCTTCAGCCACCTCCCCCAGGATGCTCTGGCCTTGACTGGCCCCAAAGCTGCCCCAGGCCTGTAGGCAGGCAAGTCCTGTAGGGCTGAAGGGAGAGGGTGGCTTGACAAGGTCAGAAGATGCTCAGAGAACTCCCTAATAAGCTTCAGGTAGGGTCCACAAGTCACTCAGAGCCCAGAAAGGGTATGGCTGGTGGAGTTGGGTTGGTGGGTGAAGCAAGGAAGGGGCCCATGGGGCCTAGCAAGTAGGTGCACGATGGACATACGGACCACCCTGCCCTTTCCCCAAGACAAAGCCTTGAATGGCACAAGACCCACACTTAGGTGTTTAAAAGCTCCCCATACTCTCCCCATCATCCTAGGGTGTCTACTCTAAGCGGCACCCACTGCTGTCCCAACCTCACCTCTCTAGTGCATCCCACACTGCCAAGCAGTCATCTCGGTAGTAATATCCAGGCAGGTCCTGGACCCCACGTTCCATAAAGTCATTGGGGATGTAGAGGCTTTCATAGGTGAGCTCTGACAAAGCCCGCACCATCACCTCAGCAAAGCCCTCCAGGCCCAGGGACATGCCCTGTTGGGGGAAGCAGACATTGGAGTCAGCCAGGCATCTCTGCAGGTCCTCCTCTGTGAGGATTACACCCACCTGAGGTCCTCTGGAAGTCTAGTGTATGCATCTCTCACCCTAAACCCAGCCTAACCCCAGGACCTCACTGCAGGCCAGCAAACCCAGCCCCTGACTCTGTGCCTTTTGAGACACAGTACCCACGTTAACCAGTCCCCTCTCCTTCGGGATCATGCCTTTTGTGATTCAAAGGCAGCTGGGAAGACCTGCTTTTAGTATAGCTAGAAAGCAAATGTCTCATTGAGGTCGAGAGCAGAAGTCTTACCCTAGCAGAGAGGCCTCCCTCATTGAGGAGGAGGGCCCTCCCGATGCTGTTGATCTGGACAGTGTATCGGGTGTGGGGGATGAGGAGCTGCAAGAGAAGCAACATGAACAAAGGCAGAGGGCTGACATTTGTCCCCTAGGGACCTCAGACCTCACTGCAACATCAGATCCCCTCACTTGGGGAAATCCTCACCCCAAGTCCTCTCTCGTGGGTCTCCAAATGCTCCCAGGGCTAACGGATACCCTCTTACTGCTAGGAACCCCAGGAAGCTTTCTGAGGCCAGGTGAAGGCAGTGATGCCTCATGGAGGTCCCTTCTCCCAAGCCCATACCTTGTAGAGGGGGTGGCACATGGGTAGGTTCCTCAGCAGGGCCAGGCAGAAGGCCTCAGCAATGAGGTGGGTCTCCAGCAGATGGGAGATGCCCTCATGGCTATAGAACTCAGCGTAGCGCACCCACGTCTTGGCCAGCAGCCAGTCCCACTCAGAATCACTGGGCAGGAAGATGGGGCAGTCAGGCCCAGGGGTCTGGCTGAGCTGGGGTGGGGAAATAGGGAGGGATAGGTGAGGGCATAGAACATACTCAAAGGTCCACAGGAACCTTTAAGGTCTGCAGGAAGGAGGCAGAAGGGATCCTGAGAAGGTGAAAGCTCAACCCTCTACACTGCAGTTCCCTGGTTCCCTGGGCATACCAAGGTCTTTCCTCTTTCCCCACATTTGCTCTTTCTGTTCCCTCAGCCTGCAGTACCTTCCCCTTACCCTGTCTCTACTTGGCTTTCACTTGTTTTTCAAGAAACAGCTCACAAGCTGGCTCCTCTGAGAGGCCTTCCTTATCTCAGCCTCAGGGCTGCCGCATTCAGGTATGCAGGTTGGGCACTGCACAAGGGTGCCCAGCCCCTCAGTGGGGAGGGAGGACGCTGAAATCCAGTCTACAATATTCCACCAATGAGCCAGGAGCATTAAGGCTTGGCTGATACCCCAAGAGGGATATTTTTTCTAATTTACACATGACTCTTGCGGGGACCTCTGGGAAGAAAACCCCTCAGTTCTTTCCCTAGCAGACCAGACTCTCAAGGCAGCAGCTAAGTGTATTGAATGAACTTGGATTTCTAGCAGAGGTTTGGTCCACAACAGGGGTTGGTTTTATAAGAGAATGGATGAATGAAGTCAAAAAGACAAGCACACTCATAAGGAAACACATGGTTACATACAGATGCGCACACAAGGTCACAGTGTGCACACACATAGAGACACACAAATACAGTTGACCCTCTGTGTCCATGGATTCCACCAATCCTGGACAGAAAGATTTCGGGGGAAAAAAATTGCATCCGTACTAAAGATGTACAGACTTTTTTTCTTGTCAATACTCCCTATATAATACAGTATAACAACTATTTACATTGCACTAGATATTATAAATAAGCTAGAGATCATCTAAAGTATGAGGAGAAGGTGCTAGGCTATATGCAAATGTGCCATTTTATATACGGTACTTGAGCATCCATGGATTTTGAAATTGGAGGGTTCTGGAGCCAATTCCCTATGGACACCGTGGGACAACTGTATACACACAGGCTCACACACAAACCGAAGAACATTCACACAAACGCAGAGGCCCAGCGCTGGCAACAGGCCCACGCAGTATCCTACCCTCCTCCTCCCCCCTGCAGTCCAGGCACCTGGATGGCGATGGGCATCAGATTGCCCTCGGGGCTAAAGTGCAGCAGGCAAAGGGGGGCGCAGTGGTGCTGCTTCCGGCCGTTGAGCTCCACAGTGGCGATGCCCTCCAATATGCGGTAGTCTGCCAGGTAAATATTCCCCTTCTGGAGGGGAGCCGCGATTGGGTGGCAGGTAGGCACCAACGCGAGACACCCACGACCCACGCCTTGGATGCAGACTCCGCTGGCCCCGAGGCGCAGAGCTAGGCAGGGACTGGGAAGTGGGAATGCAAGCTTGGGGGTGGAGGGGAAACCCATGACAGCATTGGAGGTGGGTTGTGACCTGGATGCCTGAGAGGGAGGCAGGAGAAGGGCCCGGGTCTCCTCTAAAGCCAGCCTCACCTCCAGCTCTGCTTGCAGGCACGTTCCCTCGCCCAGGGACGGGGCTACCATGCTGTCTGTGACAGGGAACTTGTCTGGGATCCGCGTGCAGCGGCGGATCAGGCCAGGGTTGATGCCATTGAGGTACTGGTACCCAAAGAAGGTGTCCTCTGCCCAGTGCTCGGCCACGTACTCTAGGGGTGGGGGCGTGGGGTCACAGTGCGACCTAGCCCCCTGCAGGGACGAAGGGGCATGGGACTGAAGAAGAAAATGGGCACCGAGAGGACTAGGAGAGGAAAACAAAATCCTCAGCTTTGCCCCCAGCGGCTGCAGGAGCCTAGGGCGACGTTTTCCAGGAAGCCACCAGAGGGCGCGCCCTCTTGGCTCGCGAAACCTGCATGAGCCCAGCTCCCTCTCTCCTCCCTCCGCCCCGTCGCCGGCTGCCTGTCGCGCACCAGAGACCACCTGGCTCCACATTATTCAATTCGGGATGCCCCACCCCATACCGGAGATGACAGTCTTGGTGGCAGGGAAAATTTTCTTAATGTCCTTCAGTCTCTTCCACGACTGTTTGCAATCCAGCAGGCCGCGGACTTTGAGTGCCAGTGACCTGGAAAAGGGGTTTCCGGGGAAAGCAGTCAGAGATGCGGCCAATGGCCGGCTAGGACCGGTGGCAGTGCTGCCTCACTTCCCTTAAGTCTCTGAGTCCCATGCCCGTATCTTAGTGTCTTTGAGTCTCTAGGTCTTCGGGTGTCAAGCCTCATGTTCTCTAAGTCTGTCTTTCTAGCTCCCTCTGACCTCCTGGTCATCCCAACCTCTGAGGCTGTCCTCCAAACAGGGAGCAGGGGGAGAGACAATCTTGGCAGGAACCCTCACTCTCACACACTCACATGGGTCCCAGGCGAAAAAAGAAAGAGGCTGTCTTCACGAAGGAGTAGCGGAGATTTGAGTTCAGGAACTTGGTGGCCTTAATGTTGATGAGAATAGGGAATCCCGGAATATAGCCATTCCACCTGTGGAGATCGAGCAAGGCTGGAGTCTGGCACCTGGGATGCAGGGGGCAGGGAGGGGGAAGCCACTGAATGGGCCCAGAACTGCGTGGTGTCCTTACTCAGGCCTGTTGGGATTATGATGCCTCCGGACAGGAGGGTGGTAACTGGGAATGTGAATGTAGTTGGGGAGGCCAGGAACAAATACCCTCCAGCTGCAAAGAGAAGCTGAAACAGTAAGCCTGACCCCCTGGCCCAGGCACCATCCCAGGGTGCAGAGGGCCAGCGCCCCCCACCTCCCACCCCCAACTCCCCTGACTCCATCAGGCTCCGCAGACCCTGCCACCCTCCCTCTCACTGGTAGAAGTCCTGCTTGGCTCTAATCTCCTCTTGTCTGTGCTCCAAAAGGATGGGGAGAGAGTCGTCTGCTGTTGTCTTTGCTGTGGAGAGACCAAGGAGGGGGCTCAAGGGCTGACTCTTCTGCCTGCCCCACCCACCCTTGAGGGCCTCAGGGAGCAAGAGTTCAGCTTCTGTCCCCAAGTTGGCTCTGGAGGACCCATGGATGGGGGAGGTGTGCCCTAGGAGAAGGAGGGTGCATCCCCTCCAAGGATCTCAAGTGTAGGGATCATGGACCCACCCTCTTCTTTTTTTTTTTTACCCCTCCAGTTAGGCTGTGCTGCTGCGAGGAGGTCCCTCTTCTAAACCTACCAAAATGTTAATAACGATAGTTATTTAGCACTTGCGAGGCACCAGGCACTTTCTAAGCACTTTACATATATTAATAACTTAAGCCACATGACAACAACCTTGAGGCAGATGACTATTATTCTAGGCCCACAATCCTTTTCTCCACAATTCCAAAAGGAATGTGGGAAAGGCTATGGAAATCAAGTTTGTTTATTTCACAAAAATTTCACTGGTGATCAAAACCTGCTCTAAATTTACCTGAGGCTATATATAATCTTTAACTCACTTAGTGTTCATAATTTTTACTAAGAAATATTAGTATAGGCTCGGCGCCTATAGCTCAACCGGCTAAGGCGCCAGCCACGTACACCTAAGGTGGCGGGTTCAAATCCCCAGCCCGGACCCGCCAAACAACA